GAAATCAAGGGAATCAAACCGAAGATATTCCCAACTTTAATGTGCAGTGAGAGAAGAGCACCCTCATTATTTGCTGTACGTATCGAACTCATTTCGTTGAAGGTTACACCAAAACTAAACACTTTAGTCTGATTAAATGGTTACTGACTCATTTACTAATGTGACATTTGACGATTTGTCGAACGAACTACTTTCAATTATTACCCTTCCTTTATGATGAGTCGGAATGAAGAAAATGTTTTTATACCGAATAAAGTGTAAATAAATATTGTATTGCTCTTTTTCTGCTCGGTTTTTTGTATCTTTGAATCTGTTTTCCAGATGATGATAGATATTATATTATAGTTGATATATAATGGAAAAATGCTTGGAGACGATCTCAACCCATGTGGAACACAAACATTGATGGTGAAAGTATCGACAAAGTTCAAGATCCACGAAGAAAAATAATCTGACAGGATATAACATCGCAGTTCTTTCAGTAACGGATGAAATCAATGGCCTTGGAAATATATTCATCGACTGTATTATTCCAAACTTGGTTCTGGATACCCTAATTAATCACCTCAACAATAATGGATTCTACACAATTGCATATGGAGATGACAAAGTTATCATGCAGTGATATCATGTAGTGAACACACTGTGCGATAGAGCGCAGGAAGGGCTCAAATTGATAGAAACATGGTGTAAGGAACACTCACTGTCGATCAATTCCAAAAAGACTGAGATGGTCCTTTTCACCAGGAAAAGAAGATTATCGGGCTTACAACCCCCGGAAATCTATAAAAGCAAACTAAATTTCTCTGAAGAGGTGAACTACCTTGGTATCATCCTCGACAGGAAGCTAACATGGAGCTCTACAAAGTAGAGCAAAGAGAGCATATGTGGCTTATGAGCAATGTCGGGGGACAGTGGGACGCGCATGGGGGCTTTCACCCTGTGTGGTCACCTGGATCTACACTGCAATAATAAGACCTATGTTAACGTACGGAGCCATTGCATGGGGACCAAAAGTTCTACAAGCAACGGCTCTCCAAAAATTATATCAAATGCAGCGATTGGCTTGTTTAAACATCACAGGAGCCATGAGAACAACACCTACCGCTGCAATGGAATTAGTTACTGGTCTGACTCCTCTGGACCTGTACGTTAAGGAGGTTGCGTTGATGGACATGTTACGTCTGGTGTAAACCTCGAAGTAGGAGTGGATCAATTGAGGCTGAGCCTCTGGCGAGAAGCGCTCACTGTTCAACCAGGCAACCAGTGATGCAATTGAACCCAGGTTTGTGTTTAATAAACCCTACAAAATAAAAATAAAACAGAACACAGTGTCAGAGCATATATACAGACGGCTCAAAAACCAAAGAAGACTCAGGATATGGAGTGTACTCCAGATAACTAAGCCTAAGGATTAAGTGGGGAATGAGAAAAATACCAGCGTGGTTCAATTAGAACTGGCTGGTATCTCAATCGCCACAAAATAAATAACCAGGAAAGGAATATCTGGCAAAAACATAACAATCTGCACTGATAGCAGACAAGCCTTATTAGCTTTGAACAGACAACGTGTTACCTCAGGGCTAATCCTAGAGTGCCTCCAAGATTTAGTCAAAGCCTCGGTAGATAATAATATTATCCTGAGGTGGATTAAAGGGCACGACAGGAGTGAAGGTAATCGCATTGCCGACTCTTTAGCTAAGGAAGCGGCAGGACTAAGAATTTTAGGACCCAGGTGCACCTACGGCCTGATGACTTCGACAATTGGGGAACTAGCCAAACGTTACACCCATGCTCAATCCCTAAAGAGAAGGGATGAAATCAAATGATCACCATGGGCGACCCTGGGAAGCTGGCACTGAAGAAATATCTAGCGTAGACCAGGAAAAATCTACGCTTAACAGTAGGATTTCTGACTGGCCACTGTCAACTAAGGAATCACCTCCATAATAAAGGGCTAGTGGACACACCTCTTGCAGGATGTGTGAACAGGTAGATGAAACTGTCAGGCATGTCTTATGCGAGTGTCCGGAGTTATCGTCATTAAGAAAGTGTGTTCGGCGAGTCTTGGCCTACACCTGCCGATATAAAGGAGATGTCTGCCAGTGACCTGTCCACCTTCCTGGAAAAGACAGGATGGACGATGATCTAGGAGGACAACTCCTCGCGAAGATGTACAGTAACATGTGGCCTAAGTGCTGTGGGCCTACNCCTTTGGGCGTCAGAAGGGATATATTTTTTATGCATGATGGGGCTCCCGCCCATTTCAGTCAAGTAGCACGTCAGCATTTAACTAAAACATATGCAAATCAGTGGATAGGTCGAGGAGGACCAAAGAACTGGCCCGCTCGATCCCCGGATCACAATCCTCTCGATTTCTACATTTGGGGCCTTTTAAAGCATTTGGTTTATCGTAGTCCTGTTCGCGATGTAGAGGACTTAAGAAACCGCATCATTGATGCGTGCAGGGTAATCAGAGAGACTCCAGAAATATTTGAGCGAATACGTGGCTCAATGCGCCGACGTCTAGACGCATACGTAATATCTGAAGGTAGACACATTGAACTTTTACTATGATTTCTACCTGTTGTGTGTTTTGTTATTTATAAATTAGTTTTTTTTATTACCCTTTAATCGTTTAATGCAGGTACTAACTACAAAATAACAATAAATCCAGTTCGTATTTATGACGATGTATCTCTGTAGTTGTTCGTAAAATAATTTTTTGCTGCGAACTGGTTCATTTTAGGCAAAAAACCCAAGAGACATTTTTTGTTTATAATAAAACAGGCTATCGGAAATAAATTTTTAAATGGTAAACAAATGATAAGACAAAAAGTTACATGGAAATAAACTTTAGGGGTTGCGTTTTCCACCTCTTACAACCATGGGGTAAACCAAATAAATTATTGGCTAAGTGTCTGTTTGGTAGTACAAAACGTCAGGTTAATTTCAATATTGTAACTTTTTTAGTGCTTGTGAAAAAGGCATTCTGTCGTATATTAAGTATCAGCATTGCACCCATGCGGAGCTGGCTGGGGTCGCTAGTACATAATAATTGGAATATCAACCTGGGTTAAAAATACTCACATTTGGAACTAGAAGATACAAAAAGTTGCACGCTCTGTCGCTGAAATCTACGAAATAATTTCCATCGAGAAATCCAGCAAATATCAGCAGAAATAGGAAGGTAGAGTAACTAAAGGACCACATGAAGTATGTTCCAAAAATAATATTAAAATGTTCCGCACATTTATGTAGAAGAGTGTACATATATTTCGCTTCTCTTATTTTGGTCAAAGCAATGATTCTGATTGATTCTTTGCAGATACCATTGAGAATATCATTCAGATATATGTAACGTTTCTTGAGGAGACAGGCCAACTGGTAGACGATGGTGGCAATAATGAAAAATTGCAACATTATTATCCACCAATCGACGTATATTAGAATTTTCAATATTTTTGATACCGATGATTTTCTGGTGAAATATTCGAATATCACCATCAATGAAAGAAATAAGGTACAAGACGCTGATATAAAGGCGTACCATCTGATATCTATATTTCTTAGATTTACTCTTCTCGTGAGAATTTTGTCAATCCGTGATATTGCAGACAACATCTCCCTCCAGTTAGATTCGTGTTTGACAGTAGCGTATGTTCCAATGGCTGGAAAGATTAACTTCAGAATTGAGTAAAAATTCATGACAAAATTGTATGATTTGCTTGTTTTCGAAAATCCCAAATTTTTTCCATCAATATGACTCCACAGCAAAACAGCTTCTCCGAAAATGAAGAGGACGATGATGTAGGATCGGAAAAACCATCTTGTTCTTGAACGTGAAGTCATCAGGGGGATCAAGCCGAAAACATTGCCTACTTTGACACTGAATGAAAGAAGGGACCCTTCATTATTTCTAGTGTATGTGGAACTCATTTTGTTGGACGTTTCACCAGGACTGAACAGTTTGAGTTAGTGAAGTTATTGATTTTTTCGACAAAGTGACAGTAGATTTGATCAACCGTCGGTAAAAAGATAATATCAGCAGGTTCTTATCTATAACAAAAAAGGACCATTTGGGAAATTAAATATATTGACTGTTAAGTCTATGTCCATTCCGACCTATATTGAATACATGATGGAAATCATATTTCGGAGCGACATTCAGACAAATTTTGTCCGATGAAGATTTGATATTGTTTGATGACGAAAATGAAACAACAGCAATGAAAATATCAACGTTCTCCATTCTTCGCTTCACATCAATATATAATTGAAAAAAGAAGTTAGGAAGCTTTTCCTGATAGTCTGGATAGAGAAAAAAAGGATGATTTCGAAAACTGCATAGAAAAAATGTTTCTAAACTGAACTTCTTGCTGAATAGATGAAGAAATTTCAGAAACCAGCAAGAAATACAGTGTGTCTCAGGATTGACGTGACAAGAGTTGCCATGGATTGAAATTTTTGAATATTATTTTGAAATTTTGGGACTTACTTCTTCTTGATGAGAAATGAATTCAAGTTGGCGCAAACGGTGAAGCGAAAATTATTTTTTCATGATACGTCAAAATGTTATTGGAAAAAGTTATTCAGATCGAGAAATTCGTACTCAATCCTCACGAATATCACAGATAAACGTGGCTCTTTAAGGCTAGCACCACTGACGAGAGCTATGATGGATCGAAACAGCTCTGTATGGTGTTGGTTCATAAATGCTCAGTTTTTGGACTCTAGTTTCAACTAGTGGGTTGCAGTAAAGGTTTTTTGAACTTCATGGAATTTGAATATTTTGTAAAAAATTTCAAATAAAGACCCAAAATGTGTGGGCACTTTTCCGCCCAAGTGGGGATTTTGACAATTTCGTATTGTCAACACTGAATATGAGTGACTGACCACAAACCACAGAATAGTTATTCTATGCACAAACCACAAAACACACTTGTCTGTGACAGTGACTCATTGACAGGAACAGGAATTATTTTGTGAATAATGTTAGCAAATAGGTTATTTATATGAAACCACGATGAAACTTCCAATATTTTTGAAGTGAAAGAATTTAGATCACGTGAATATAATTTAGTTTATCGTTCGTTTTTTATTTGATATGGCGAATTTCGCGAGTGGGGTGAGTCAAAGATCAACGTGAACACGTTATGAATAATAATCTTCTATAATCTAAATGATAGCAATTTATATCACTTGACTAAGATCATGAATTATTGAGCAGTTATTGTTGTGTTATATAATAATGGAAAGCATAGACATAAGTCAGGTAGGAATTCTTTCGAAATGCATATATTAGCCACATAAAAATAGACACATTTCAAAAGCTCAAGAATAATTGAAGAACTATTCACTATTGATAGTTTTTGATTTTGAATAGTATCAATTGACAAATAATTTTATATAAAGTATGAAAGTTTAAGGTGAAATGGTAGTATTGAGATGATAGAATTATAGGAAAATTAACAGATATAACTTTTTTGAATTGAAGGGGGTGTATTTGTATTCATCTTTATACAAAAAAGTGGGATCTTTTGTATAAAGATGAATAAGTAGAAAGCCAAACCCTTTCTTTTCCAAAGAAACTCTTTTTCAGAACTCATGAAAATAATCCATATTAATAAAGAGTTACGATTATCTCTTGACAGAATGTGGTAGTCGAAAATGGTGGTTGTATGGTTTTCAGATTCAGGAACAGAATTTCACTCCAAAGATCCCAGTTATCCTATTGAAAACAAATATTATTTATCAATCCCTAGATAGTAATAAGTCAACGTTATGTATTTTGAGAACTACGATCTACAATTATTATTTATGTCAAACCTTATAAAAGTTGAGATGTTTTCTGATAAATGATCAGTAGATTTGAAAAGTCTACAAAAATGGTTTGTAACTGTGTGCTTATGTTCAATTTTGAAAATATATATATATATATATATATATATATATATGTTTACCTAAATTCATAGGAAAATGGGCCAGACATGACAATAACTTTATATAATTAACTTTAATCTCAAAAAGTATACTGAAACTCCACTTCACTGATTGATTGAAACTCAGTTTCAATAATTGTAAATAAACTGTTATGTACATAATCTTTTGGGCCTCTTAAAAGATGATATAGTTATGGAAAGCACAGCATTCAATCCTAAGGACTGAATATTGATAATCGTTTCAATTGTAAAATCAATATTGATCATATAAAAAATTAAGGTGTATATTGGAAATTTCGAATATTCAATGTTTTGAAATGTATTTTTTTATCCAGACTTTGCAGTTAAGTTGCTTCAAATTATTTTCATCTCTTTTATGGAAGGATGTTCATTGAAGTTTGTTAGTTTCATTTACTTTCTGTATATCTCCTAATTGAAAATGCCTGAGTCTCTTGCCAAAAAAAATAAGCTGTTCTATAATTATGAATATATATTTGTGATCTAACAATAGTTCGAAATCGGTGCAGGCAATAAGTAGTCCTATTTTCTTTTACAGATTTGAGTTTTAGAAAAGTTATAAAATGGATAGATTTCCAAAGCTTCCTTCACTTATGGTAAATATTTCTGTAATGAAATTGATGGTTTTGCAATACTGTTTGAACTTTTGTATTTTTTTTGAATATGCTTTTCAACCATTTTATCTCCGTTTGTGTATTACTAGAGCTAGATTCTGCTGCAGTTTCAGTAATCTATTTTCATAAAGTTATTATTTCAAATTTGTTTCAGGTTTTACCAGTTGCCTTAGGTGTTGGTATTGTTATTACATCAATAGTAATATATCGATTATATACTTCCAAATCTACTAAGACCACCAGCAAAGGTACGGTATTTTCATTAATATATTATTGTTGTGCTCTGAAAAGAAATAGTTCTTTCTTCCCAGGAAAATTGTTTTGTTTCAAATAACTGTTAATACTCTTTCATTTTTGGAATCTAACTTTGGTAAACACTGCCAATTATCTTATTGCCTCTTCAGCATCAATCTATATAACATTACAAATTTGGGAAGATTCCTACATTTTTTTATAAAGATAGAGAAGTAAAAAGCAATAATCTTTCTTTCCCATAATGCTTTTTATGTCATGAATTAACAACATATTGCTGTTTTCTCCTAAAATTTGAGGGTTTTTGAAAGGATTCAATCGTATATTACATAATAATTTTCTAGAAAACTATACACAAATATTTCAGTACTACTTTCAATTATAATCGCATTTGAACCAAATTGAACTGACTAAAAAATGAAGGCTCACTCCAGCTTGGTAGATTTATACAATTTTTTTCTCTGTTCAAATTTTTGCTGATTCTTGATATTTTGACTACACTATGATATTAACGTGATTGGCATCTGAAATTGTAGCCGTTTGTTTATGACAAGTTGTTACAGATGAAACTGTCAAAAAACGTTCAATCAACATTGGTTAGCACAATGACTTTGAAAAATTTTAGTTGTTTGACAGCAGGAAAAATATTAAAACTTTTCTTTTCTTCAGGTAAAAGTAAAAAAATATTACTTGTGGACCCACAAGCAAAATATCAACTACCTCTGATTGAGAAAACAATAATCAGTCATGACACAAGAAATTTCAGGTTTGCTCTGCCAGAAAAGGATATGGTCCTTGGTGAGATATTTTTTCTGAAGTTTCAGAAAAATATGAGTGATTCATGAATGTTTTTAGGTCTTCCGATAGGGCAACATATCCATTTATCAGCAACAATAGGTGAAGATTTGGTTATTAGGTCATACACCCCTGTGTCATCTGATGACGATTATGGATATATTGATTTGGTCATTAAGGTGAGTTAATCATTTTATTATAATTGGTTGATGATCGGCACACCACCTAATCGGAGTAACTAATGAGTATATTTAAGTGTTTATTTTTTTAATTACAGATTTGTTGAGGTTATAAAAAAGATTGGAAGAAATTTAATGAGCACCGAATAATACCTTATTGACGACGACATTTTTGTATTTTAGAATTATGATAAACTCTAGTATAACTATGACCACGGTTACCCAGCATCTTCAACCGGATTACTAACAACCAACATTACTTAAACTAACTAACACTACATGTTATGATAAAATATATAGTAATAATAATAGTACATCACGGTGTTCAGAATAAAAGCTAAAATAAATTAGCATTTGAAGATGCATATTCACTTGAGACAATTTTTGAATTTATTCAGAGATATCCCAGTTATATCTAAATTTCATTCATTCATAAATCGTCGTGTCTGATCTTTAGGGTTATAGAACCATATATGAAACAAATCGCTAGACCTTAAAATTCTGTTTGGAACATAGAAATGAAAACGAATGTTGATTCTGTGTAAACACCATTTTCTTTCAACGTTATCAAATCAGTTTGATAACGCAAAACTTTTTGAAAAACTGATTGGCAATTCAAAACTATTTACTGAATCGTGTAAACACCTACCTCAAGTAGTGTAATAATTTAATGGCATGAAAATTTCAGGTCTACTTCAAGAATGTTCATCCAAAATTTCCAGAAGGTGGTAAGATGTCCCAATACGTAGAATCACTAAAAATTGGAGATAAAATTGACATTCGTGGTCCTTCGGGCCGGATTCAATACAATGGTCACGGAAAATTTTCTATCAAAAAACTCCGAAAAGATCCTCCTGTTACAATGAATGTCAAAAGAGTTAATCTGATAGCTGGCGGTGTAGGAATAACTCCGATTCTACAATTAGTTAGGCATATTATGAAAGATCCAACTGATAAGACTGAATGTGCATTGCTGTTTGCCAATCAATCCGAAGATGATATTTTGCTGAGAAATGAAATAGAGGAGGTGGCATGCGTGTTTCCAAACAGATTTAAATTTTGGTATACTTTGGATAGACCTGCAGAAGGTGAAGAAAAAATAATATTTCGTGACAATCTGTTGAATCTATTTTTTTTTCAGGCTGGAAGTACAGTACTGGCTTCATAAACGAAGATATGTTGAGGGATCACCTGTTTCCACCTTCAGACGAAACCATAATCCTGATGTGTGGTCCTCCACCTATGATAAATTTTGCGTGTTTGCCAAATTTGGAAAAAATTGGCCACAGAAAAGAGTTATGCATAGCATATTAGGTGTCAGGGTTTATTTAATTTATCTGAGAGAACTGTTACTTTGAAAACTTTGTGGGTTTTCAAGCATTTATGTTATCTGTTTTTTTTTGTTGTATTTTTCATGGAAATCACCTTATGTTACTCCCTCAAAAAATTATATTATTATTAAGATAACTAGATAATAAATGATCTAATTAACAGTTATTTCATTATTCTTAAATGTCGTAATTTACTTAGATTAGGTTAAGTCCAAAGTGAATGGGTTTATTCGACCCTCCACCGCAACCCGCAAGGGTTTATTGTGGCTCACTCCTACTCATACTCGACCAAATAAACCCAGTGACGTCTCATTTGACTATGGTTTTAAAAGAATACAAAATATGTTTGTTATATTTCAAAACTCTGTGGGTCTGACCGATATAGTATTGTTCTGTCACAAGTCTTTTGATCTTTACTGTAAGGATATCCTTTATTAAGTGTGGTTTCTGGATGTGGATGTTTTGTTTCGTCAGTGTTATCCTGAATTGTTCTACAAAGTGAAGTTCTTAAAAATGCACTTCTAACGCCCATGGAGGTAAGAGTCCTCCTAAATGATGCGTCATCCTAAGGTTAGTGTATCTGTGCCGAACAAATATATAACTCTGAGCCCGCTCACTGTGTCACTAACGCAATCTTCGAGATACTGGGTAACCTATGAAGACTTCCATATGAAGATGAAACACAAAATGAGGCCAGTATTTATATTCTAGGGAAACTAAAAAGAATGAACTCCTGAGGCAGATCATGAAGTATAAGAACACCTTAGGTGGGTATGAGTTCTGTTCAAAAAAATAAGGTGAACTTTCAAGTTTCGTAGGCTACGTACGTTCAATTAGCAATTTAATTTTACGTTGGTACACTCGTCTTCAACATATGTTACAGTTTCAGCATAAACACTTGAAATGTTAAGCATACAGTGATTGTACTCTGAGTCATTAAAATGTTTACAAGTGGTACAGGAGGTCGAGAAGATATGAATGACGTCGCCCGTCCTGGACGCCCCAACACATTAACAACTGGTGAAAATGTTGAAAAAGTGAAGAAAACTGTTTTGGAGAGTGGTCGAATCACTATTAGAGAAGATGCTGAGGAAGTCGGCATACCGGTTGGCTATTGCTATGCAATTTTTTTCGTAAATTTTGGGAATGAAGTGTGTGGCAGCGAAGTTCATTCCAAAATTGTTGAATGACTTCAATGGCGATCCAGATTTGCGCAAGAGTGTCATAACCGGTGACGAATCATAGGTATATGGTTATGACATCAAAATCACAGTCCAATCGTACCAAAGGACCCAAGAACAAAAAAAAATAATGGCAAGTTCGATCAATTTTCAAAGTTTTGCTCACTGGCCGACAAAAACGAAGTTGAGTTGTCAGACAAAATAAATAAAATAATAGATAAATTCAGTGCTTGGTGTCAACGTAACAAACTTATTCTGAATGTATCTTAATCTGTTTCAATGAAATCATTTATTAGGAAAAATTTCAGCAGTGACTCTTCCACAATAAATGGTATTCGATCTTCCAGCGAAGTCTTGTTTTTAGGAACGTCTTTAGACGAAAATTTGACCTGGAGCGAACTCAATTCCGCATATTACTCAATCAAACAATTGAAAAACACTCTAGATAATTTTGGATTGATGAATGTCTATTTTTCTATGGCTTATTCTCACATCAGCTTTAATATCATTTCTTGGGGATGTGCAAGGGAATTTCCACGAGTTTTTGTTGCTCAGAAAAGATTGCTGAGACTAATTTTTAATATAGATTTTCAAGATAGTTGTAGACCAATTTTCTTAAGAGCCTTTTGACGGCACCTTCTTTATTTATCTTGAAGTGTGTCACTTTTGCCCGTAACAATATAACTGAATTTGTCACAAATGCGGATATACATGGTAGAGACACCCGTCATGGGAAACTGTTAAGAACCCCCTCACACAAAACGGCTCACTTTAGATGCTCCCCACTATTTAATACAACAAACTGTTATAATAACTTGCCGGCATCTATTAGGAAAATCGAGTCAGATAAACTTTTTAAAATTGAGGTGAAGAAACTTCTCTTACAGAAGTGTTACTACAGTCTTGAGGAATTCTTGCACGACCCTTTTTCATGACATTTTGAGAGTATTTGCTAGAGCTTCTCCGATTTTTTATATAATACTTCTATGTTGTGAAAGTTTGTGGACGTGAACCATATTTATTGTTTTTGTTTTGTTCAACTTCTGTAGTTTTATTTTTGTTTTTTAATTATGACTTAGCACATGTACTCAATGTACCAAAGTGTCAAATAAATAAATAAATAAACTGTTTTCTTCTGTCGTGGCTTAGTTCATTAGAAGTGTTTGCCGTATGATCGTACGATCAATAAGGATTATTATCTTAGTTAGGCACCGTTTGCGAGAAGCAAAACAAAGAAAGCGTCCAGTATTGTGAAAAAACAATTCATGGCTTTTGTATCATGATAATGCACCTGCGTACTCGTCATTGTTCGTAATTTTTATTTCCGAAAATACTATAATCGTGCCTCAACCACCATAATCACCAGATTTGTCCACCCGCGACTTTTTTCTGTTTACGCAGGATTTTTTCTGGAGGTTTTCTTGAGGAAGCAGAAGGTCCATCAGGGTCTTGCGGACTACTTGAACTCCGGAACTAACATCGGTTGGTACTGACTTTCTTAAGGGAATGTTGCGATATTTTCAATAATGAGAAGCAGGAGCAAAAGACCTCCATATATTTGTGCGCCTTTCAGAAAACTAGTTTTTGATCCTATCACCTTTTTATCCTATGAGAATTTTTTTCACTCATACCAAGAATTTATTAGTGGCAGTACAAAACTTGTGTTCAGGCAGAGTTAAATAAAAACGGAGAAATAAAAAGACAAAAGCTTTCTTTCCCGAATAAATTATGATTACCAAAGTTTGGTGATTTTGTAAAATCACTCAGGACGCGAAAATTCCTTGCAAATTCAAGAATAAATGATTGAGACTGTATGATTTTCAACAACAGCAACAGAGTAAAAAAAAATGTTTCAGAGTGAACAACATTTCTGAAACCATCTTTTTTTCAATTTCAAAATATCAGGATTTCTTGGGCGGCTGACTGAAACAATGCATTTGATGTATCAATATTTATTTCGAAAAATCTAAAAATTTATATAAAAACATATTTTGTTCATCAATCTAAAATTTAATTATCCTTAGGATAATATTGTTAAGTACTTAATTTCACTATTCCTAAATCATATACAATATCTGGCACAAAACAAATATATGTAACTTAACAATACAGAAAGGGTCATCCAAAAGATACCACAAGGCAAATTTGCCATGGAAAGAACTTTTTCCGAAAATTTGGAGCTGTCAAATTTTTTCAAATGGGAACAGGATTTTCGATTCTCCATCGCTTTTGAAAAACGTTTTCCGAAAATTGCAAAAGATGAATCAACTTAAATCAGAACCTATATCGTTGATCTGATGTTTTATATAACTCATTATCACCCATCAATCCAAAGTTATTGTTACAAATGTCTATCTCATAAATAATAAAAATGTGTTGAAAATACATTTTTTCGGAATAATTCGTCGTTCAGTGAGTATCAAGCTTAAGGCGGGCTATAGACTCAGCTCTCACTGAAATCATAAATAATGATCCTGCATACATTGAAGGAGAAATGATGTTTCAGTCAGACAGTGCTCATCCGTGCTAGGAATGTCACATTAAAAGGTAAGACCTCGTTATTCCTTGGCTTGCACAAATAATCTGAGAAATTATCTTCTTGATCTGGCTTTATATGGTAATCCGGAATTTTTTGAGACAGCATTCGTTAGCTGACTCATATTCGTATTAACATTGTTATGCCTTTTATTTATTTTATAATCCACTAGGTTAATTAACTATTATTGCTACATATTTTATTGGCTCTATATCATGTGAATCATGGTATATGAAGGCATATGTGAGTTTATATATCTTCGGACAAAGTATATTTTGAATTTGAAGATTTCAACTTAAGTTTGTGGTTCATAGTCAAGCTTGTTTACGAAAAAACATATTTTTAACAGATATTCATTACTCACGAACTGTGCTTCAGAAATTGAATAAAGATATTGCACATTCATTTTTGTTAAAAAATATCCAGATTCAGTAATATTATCTTCAGCAGAATGTACTAATTTCACAATGAATTGATGTTCCGAGGCCTTTGAACCAATCTTTCAGAGGTCATCAAAACCGTCTCAAGATTAGTTGCGAATGTGTGGCCAAAAGAAATTTAATTTCAAATCATACCAAAGTATGTACATTGATAACAAATAAAAATTTACTGAAACTTAGATCACTAACCTAATTCTTAAACTATAATTTTTCAGATATTCTAAACAGCCGTTCATGCTTGATGCAACATTACTTGATTCGAGTGAGTATGAAAATAGAATAAGGCATATTCACTTTCAAAAAACCTAAGGGATGACCACGTAGGCAACCATAGCTACTTGTGTTAGTTATTGCCCATGAAAAATAGGTCTCCTATATGAAATCACAATTGTGTGGTTAACTCCTGTTGGTGACTCCGTGCATGTGTACAGTTTTCGGCAAACAAGTGTTGCCTATCCTAAAACTTGGCTGCACCACGCCGACGAGGCCAATAGCTCCATTTTTGAGTGTTAAGTCAGCTAATTCACCTCTTTTCGATTTATAATAAATACACTTGAAAAGATACTTTTATTGGACATAACAATAAAAAAAGGGAGAACAATAGACGCATGTTTCCGGATTTTGGTTCATCATCAGTATGGAACAGCCAAGTGTAAGATTGGGCAGTAGTTAAGTAGTAAAATTATAACGAAATAAAGAAACAGAAAGATCTCCCGTACGATCCCAGACACTGAGCAAACTGATCCCCCAAGACGGGCGGTATTAGGTCACATTATATCGCTGTAGAACAGCAAATAAGGAAGTCACGTTTCCTGAGGATTCAGCACGTTTTTATCCTGCATGCCTCAGCCAGCAGTTGTAGCCGATAAGGAAGGCATCGGTCACATAGTGTTCCTTGTTAGCCTCTTGGCCGTCTTGGTACACGACGGCAAATACTTGTACTGTTCGCCTTTTGGAGAATGTTCAACAGCATTTCAAAAAAGGCAGCTTTGCCGCAATTTCACCTACCCTCATGCATAGACTCGAATTTGAATAGCCTTGTACATAAGTTTTCGCTGAAATTGCAGAAGGGGATAGTAAATCCTCCCGTCATTTATTTTTACATCACTGAAGAATATGCCTTACTGTCATTTCAATGGGACACGATATTAGTGCCGTACTCATAATAAATGATCTTCACATTTTTTTCAGCTTTAGCAGCCTTTTCAGAATGTACTACACCTTGTACGGCCCGGCCATCACAGGTTTTTTCGGGGTATGTCCATACAAGAATATAGAAAATATCACGAAAGCTGCCCCTAGAGCGAATTGCAATGACAATTCAAAGTCGAATATGTACATCGACGCCACACATGAAATAACGATAGCCAGAGATGTGGCGAACCCCTTGAGAATATTATCAGCGTATTTCACAACCACAGCGACTATGAGTCCTCCGCAAGCCTGCAGAACTATCAAGTAGTTCACAAACTTGTCGTACCCGAAGAAGAATCCTTGTTCTCTGATTTTCGCACCGTCGTAGGCATAGCAGGATATGAGACCAAACGGTATAGAACAGAACGAGAGCTGCACGTTTCGCATCCAAACGGTAACATCACTTCCTTTGAGCATTTTTTCAAAGTAAACTCCGGCGAAACCAGAAAGGCAGCAGGCTGCTAAAGCGGCCATGAAGCCAACTAAGTGGTTTTGCTCGTGCCCGTTCGTCACCGTCTGCTTGTCGTCGGACTGGGCTAGCTGAACCAGCACGACTCCTACTATGAGAGTGAGAAGCGAAAACCATTGAGTTCGCAGAAGTTCCCTCTTGAGTATGAACACCGAGAACATTGCGGTCGTTAGGATTTTTAGTTGGTAGGTCACCTGAAAATGAAAATTGAAATTTAATAATTCAGTAGAAGTAGTATTCATTCTAATGCACACTGCACAGATTCCTATGAATAAGGATTTTATTTTCTTTGATGAGCTCTTTGAAACTACTGAATATTAAGCAAAATATGGATCATTGTGTTACATTCACTTCTACTATATAGAATTAAAAGTTTCGGGCCTAACACATAGATGGCCCTAGTCTTATTGCATTAACCACTTTTTCACTTAGTACCAACATTCAAAAAATAGCTGTTGAAATTACATGATATTCTATTCATAATTTTGTGAGTTATTGTACTAATAGTGACACAAGAGTGTTATTTACAAAACAGTGGATCAAAAACAGTTCCGTATTTTATTTTTATACTGTGTTTTGATGGGAAGAAACGCCGTTCAAGCAAAGTAACGGCTTGAAAAGTGTTATAAAGACTCCGCTCCATCAGAAACAAATCAACGCTGGTTTGCCGACTTCAAACGTGGTCGTAGAAATACCGATGATGCAGAACGCAGTGGACGTCCAAATGAGGCAGTCACACCAGAAAACATAAAAAAATCCACAAAGTCGTTTTGAATCATCGAAAAGTGAAGTTGCGTGAGTTAACTGACCTTGTAAAGATATCAAAACAACGTATTGGATTTATAATGCATGATCATTTGACTATGAGAAAGCTCTGTTCACTGTTGATCAAAAACAAGAACGTCTTGATGATTCAGAGCAGTGTTTGGCCAGAACATAACAAACCAAAATTTTTGCGTCGATATGTGACAATGAAATATGGATCCATCACTTCACTCCAGAATAGTGTTGTAAAATTTCCAGAAATATAGTTTTTGGAAATATTTCCTGAAATATTGGAAATATATGGAAAAATTGGAAAAAATTTAAAAAAATAGAATATTTATTCATAAAAAAATAAAACACAGAATGCTCATACTTAAACCCAAACAAACCAAAATAATGTCA